GGCCACAGAGGATGTTCAGGCCAGAGGCTAATCTTCAAGATAATTGGAATGACAATACTCTCGGCCAACGCCGTGAGAGGTATCAACAATGCCGCGGATTAGAAAATGACAGTGTTTAATATATAACAATGTCGCAGAGGAAAAACAAAGAGAGCTGTTTGGGGAAGACAACGACACCGCGAGTAAGCCCAACAACTGCGGTACTTGAAACGACACTGTTTAGTAGAAAACAATGTCATGAACCATGGGTCATGGATTCATTCGACAAAGGTCTGCATCACAACTGTGGTCTCAGCGACGTCAAAGAGTTGAAAACGATATCGGGTGAGGTCCTAGCAATGGCGCGGTATTGGTGAGCGATGTCATTTGATTAAAAACAATATCGCAGTGGTAAGTGACTCACTTCTACTGTCACTCCAGGAATTGGCCAAGTGAAACCACTTCCTAGAGCGTAGTATAGCGGGTTTAGGTTTAATTATCAACCCGGGTCCTAGATTTGATGACTACTCAGTGAATTCTTGTTATCTAGCAATGAAACTTTAATGCAAGTCTAAACTAACAAACTAACAGAGCAAGTAAACTTTTGTATTCAGGTTAAGAGAGGTCACCCGGATATGGTTCCCCCTAGACTGCAGTTAAGCCGGATTGTAATTACCAAGTTCAGTTTCTATGATAGTTATACTGCGGAAGGTTCTTAAACAGCCTGAAGTCTCGACTAAAGGTCTTCAGACCCTCTCAATCTGAGTCTCTAGCGGGCGACTAACCTCCACCGGAGTAAATAGATTGAGGCCTTAACAAACAAAACCTCCACTACCGGAGTAAATCCGGTACAGAATAGTGAGTTGGCTCCTCGACTAAAGTCACCAACTCCCTACCTTCAATCAAGGATGCTCTATCAACCTAGGCAGATATTCTCATTCTAGGTTAAAGCAGAAACAACAGGAATTTGATCAGGATTCAAGTCATTCAATCATTCAAACCTCAATCGAATATAATCAAATCATAGAATCAGTACTTGGGTTCATACAATCAAACCTAACATAAAAATCTAGGGTTCTCCATACCCAAATGAATGGGAGAACTACTCCATGGAGAAAGAAGCAAAAGCAGAATCAGACGCGAAATTCATACTGTGAAGGATGGATTCCTGCTCCTGGATGTTGATCGGCACTTCTCCAAGCTCAAACTGACCTCCAATGGTGATGAAGATCAAGCTAGGGCACTTGGGAACTCTTGCTCGTCACTTTCTCACTCTAGGAATCGATCTCTCTCTCCAAAACTCGAACCCCTTAATTTTCAGCCTTCCTTTCCCTTAAAACAGCTGCCTGTCGCGATACCCGGACGAAATACCCGGTCGGGTATTTTGGGTAACGACCGGGTATAGTTAAAACGCACGTTTTGGCCAGGGGAAAAATACCCGGTCTCATCCAATAATCCCCGGTCGGGGATTTCTGCCTTCCAGACCGGGACCCCCCTGTTTCTCAGACGCCAAAAGGGAAAATCCCCGGTCTCCTCAGAATAATACCCGGCCGGGTATTTGTGGTCATGGCCGGGTATTTTCTTCCTCCAGCCCACTTCAATCCTCACTTGCTCCTATCGACCCGAATCTTGTTCCTTCGCCTCGATTCCAACGCCGGGTCCTGAAATATGACATAAACACACAACCTCGCGTGAAATCGGCTTAAAACCCGAGAGTCAACCCCTCAAAGGGCTCAAGAATAGGGGTGAAAATATGTATAATTATCGGTCTATCAGTAAGAGATGGCCCTTGTTTAGCACAAAACAACATCGTGAGTTCAGATTTGACCATTTTTATTTAATTAAAACAAGTAAAATACAAACGGCGTTGTTTGGTGAAGAAAACAATGCCGAATAGGCCCAACGACGTCGCGACATTAGAAACGGCATTGTTTGGAAGGGAGCAATGTCGTTGAGCAGGGGCCATCAATGTTGCAAAGTGAGATGTGGTGCCGATGTTGTTTAACCAAAACAACATTGACCACTGTCAATCTTTGCCGACTTAGGAAATATGGCCGACGTTGGGCCATTAAACTTGATTTGCATGACAATAAAAGCAGGTCGTGAGGTCATCACCGAGATTGGTCCAGCTTGGAGAAACTTAGCAACAACGTGAATTCAATAAAGTTCGGGCATCAATGGTGGGAATTCGATGATGCCGGGGTACTAAGAATGACGTTGTTTGGTAGAGAGCAATGTTGTGAGTCAAAAGTGGCATTGATATTGTGAGTTCATCGATGTTGCACGGCCGGGAGCTCAATGCTGCTGTGTTGTTTTGCCACACCGTCGTTTTATGAACAAGGGTGATTGTTGTTTGGTTTGAGGAGCTGGGTGGATTATCAAACCCGGGTGGATAACAATAAGGTTGGATCAACGTTGTTTTGCTAAGTCTCTACAGAACGATTTCGCATGCTTGGGTGGCATGCAACGAAGTGGAAGTTACCAACACGGTTGAGGGAATGGAAAACATTGGAGGAAAAGACGCGAAGGCGGTTACTGTGACTACGGGCAGAGGATTGGAGTATAAATATCGCGAAGAGAGAGAGAAGCTCGAGACGACAAAATCAAATCACCAACTACACCGTCGCAAAATCTATATTTTTCACTCTAGTTCGTAGAACTGCTCTGTCAAATATCTCATTTGCAGAGTCGTAGTAGTCATAGAATCGTAGTTGTAGTTGCGGAGCTCTTCAGAGAAACCTCCATAGGTGTAGAGGTAATGTAATTTAGAAATCCTCCTTGTTTCCTCCTTGTTCGTCGAACAAACTCGTTCGAACATTGTTTGAAGAGGTGTGACTTGAGTAACGATCGTTCTTGGTTAGAAGTCAGAGGTGCATCGATCAAATTAACATCGCCTGACGCCCGGCGGTGGATATTTGACAGTCATTCTTTGATCTTGTGTTCTTGTTTTTCCTTGAAAACCGAGCGCATTAACACGCATGTTTCACCATCGAAACAAATTGGCACACCTGGTGGGACCCGTGTGTTCCTGATGCCTTCGCGATGAAGGAATCTGGAAGGGGATGTTCCGCCAGGCTTTGTGGAGGAACAGGTGGTCAGCATTGAAGGTGGCCAAGGAATCGGTGCTGAAGACAGCGGCGGGTCTGAGAATCTGCCGTCCACAGCTGGGTCGATTAAGGATTTGTCAATCCGCCATTTCATGGAGGAGAATTGCCAGATGTTTGATAGTCTTAGAAATGAGGTAAGCCAGCAGAACAACTCTATCGAGTCTTGTGTTGACCGGCGTTTAGGCCAAATCTTTGAAGTTGTGACTAAAAAAAAGCATGATTTTGATATTTTTGTGGATAAAAATCTTCGTGATATGAATGAAATTAAAGAACTTTTGGATATGACCAGTGACGCAAACTCGGGATTTGCCGCTAAACGGTGAAAAAAATTTAAACAACGAAACTGGTTTTCCAAATAATGGTGCTCGAATTAGCCCGCTAAGATAGGGAGTTCCACTGACACTGGTGATGAACCACCAACTCCGCAAGTGAATCTTGGCAAGACTAGTAGTGCCGCTAACACTCATGTTGAACCACCACCATTTCACGGTGGGGGTCCACAAAATATCTTGGAGGCCAGACCCTATGTGGCTCCGATGAGTGGTGTTGTTGGTGGAGGAACAATCAACAATGATCATGCTCCACCACGCGGCTACCTGCAAAACGTGCCTCCTCCTCCAAACATGCATGGTGTGGATCCTGGTGGATTCATGCTGCAGGGGGGCAACACGGGGGGCAAGACGTGAACGCCATCCGAGATCAACTAGCACAGATGCTGGCGGATCAGTTTGGTTTATGGATTAGATCAAAGATGCCGCCGGTGTACCGAAAACCATATCCGGACTGGGTTGATAGGTACTACACTTTTCCACATGGTTTTCGTGTTCCTGATTTCATCACCTTCAACGAAACGACAGATCAGTCCATCGTCAAACACGTTGGACGATTTACTGTTTAGTTTGGAGACGTGAGTGATTTCCTAAAGCTTTGTTTGTTTGCCAACTCATTGACTGGTCCCGCATTCGCGTGGTACGTCAACTTGCCATCCAACTCGGTTCAAACTTGGCAGCAAATGGAACAAATGTTACATGCTCAGTTCTACCGTTCTGAGCTAGAGGTAACAATGACAGACTTTGCATGAATGCGCCAACAGCCAGGAGAAACGGTGGAACACTTTTAACCAATTTTAAGAACGCAAGGAATCGCTGTTTTGTAAATTTGACAGAATGCGAATTTGTTAAACTTGCTCAAGGTGGTTTAAATTTTGAACTACGTAAAAAATTTCAAGAAAGAGAATTTTCAGATCTGTTCCAATTGATGTCCCGTGCTGTTAGGTATGAGTCCCTTCTCCATGAAGAAGAGCATAGGAGAAGTGGCTCTCGTGGACAACAATTGCTAATTTTGAAAACTTTGTTGTGAATCATGTCGACAATGATGTTGACGAGGTTGAAGTTGATTTGGCCGAGATTGTGCAGGGGAAGCCATACGTGTGTGCTTCTCTAGCCAAGCCCGACAGGGAACCACAAGGTGGAAAGCCCAATCTGCTCCAATTCAACCTAGAAAATATTCCTTTGATGTTACAAAATCAGATTTGATTTTCGACCAGCTTTACAAAGATGGTCAAATTAAATTGACTGGAGGGCATACTATCCTGCCAGCTGAAAAATTAAAAGAAATGATGTTGTAAGTGGTACAACAGTGCATCTCATTCAACTAACATGTGTGTGGTGTTTCGAAACGTGGTGCAGGATGCCATTGTAAAAGGTCAGTTGTAGTTATCAGAGCCGAGAAATGAGGCCATGATTGTTGACATGGACCTGTTTTCCAATGTTGTTGGAATCAATATGGCCAACATCGTGGGGGAAATGTTTTCGAAGCTCCTTTGAACCATGGAGACTTTGGTCCTCCAAAAATTAGGAGTATGGAAGGGGGACCATGCAACGACATACTTTCAAGCCCAAAGGTGTTGAGTAAGGCATGTTTGAACCCGTGGTCCAAGATAGTGAGACCATCCATGTTCGTATTAGATGGTCCACCAAATTCTGAAGTACAAGTCGATAATGAGTAATCCACCTCAAGAGAAGGTGGTGGAGGCCGAAATCACGGCCTTGCAAAAGAAGTTGGCTATTTATGAATGTGAACAGAGGCTTAATTTTAGGAAGCCTATGTTAATGGCCGACTGTGTTCCCGATGCTGAGTCGCCGATCAACAATGATGGTTCGAGGCACGAGGTGGAAGAAGGATTCAGTGTTGCTTGCGACATTGTGATAGAAATCAATCTTGGCGCGAATGAGGATCCACATCTAGCCTTAATCGGCGCCAACTTGCTGGATGCTGACAGGTAAAAGTTAATTGAATTTATGAAAGAAGTAGAAGTTTTTATATGTGATTATCCCGAAAAGTTGCATGTGCCTATCGTAGTCATGTTGTTTAGAAAATTTATAGATTTTATCTTAGATTGTCGAATAAGTGAAGGTCTGAGCTACATAGACACTAACGGCGTTGCACCAACAAGATCACGGCCGTTAGAGTAAAGTTGGGACTCGTCGTGCTATGTGGTTTTTCTTTAAGCCAAAGTTGTCATATGGCCAAATGAGTTAACCATAATGGCACAGGAGGTTAAGTTTTTACTTCATTATATTATTGTTTTTTTTAATTTATGGACTTGATATTCGAAGAAGAAGGAATGTAAGGCTAGAGTTTTGGCCTGATCAACTCGGCAAGGCGATGCCACCTTGTTTTGTCTCTTCTTTGCAACATTGTTATATTGATAATGTTGGTATTGTTCTCAAGCCAATTCTGTTTGAGAGTAGGAACTGGCAAGGCTAAACATCCTCATTTTGGCCTCAATCACGTCGCTAAGCGACAAAACAATGTTGTTTTATTTTTCTCCTTTTACTTGCCTGCGTTATCTCTCAACAGTGTTGAGAGTTTTTGATTGGTGAAGAAAAGCATCACGAAAAAAAATACTTTTTGCCAAAACAACACCGTTAAGGGGAAAACGGAGCTGTTAGTGGAGGGAAACATAAATGGTTAACTAAAAGGGACTAAGGAAAAAATAATTGTCGTTTTTGTGCCGCGATACGGTTCCGTGGTGGTGTTGGACGACAGTGGAGAGTTTGTCTCCATGAAACGACATTGTTTGGACTAAAAGGAAACAGGTTAAATGGGGTGAATTTTGCCTAAACAACAGTGTTGAGATGTTGTGATGTAGAGCGCCGGCCCAAAACAACGTCGTTAGGCTTTTAGCACATAAATGCTGGTGAGAAAAATCACAAATTACCACGTGCCATCTTTGTTTTTCTTGCCACAAAGAAGTATAGAAAAAACAAGTTTGCTAGGCAAGGTAATGGTTCGATGGTGTGGCAAGGAGGAGTGTTTTCGTTTACATGAAAGGCCATGCAGGGCGCAGGGTTGTTTTGGCCTGCCTCATAAGTTGTTTTGCGGCGAGGAAAATTCTGGTGTTTGAACTCAATCGATGCATCTTGACTTTTTGAACAACAATTAATAACACGGTTCACACCTCTCCGAACAATGTTCGAACAAGAGTGTTTAATGATTTTGATGGATAATAAAACTTAGTTACATTACTCCTACTTCTATGGAGGTTCAGTGAGAGCTCCAAAAACTAAAGGCTACGACTATGGCTACATTGTAGAGAAAAAGATAGAGTTTAACATATGTTGTCAAACGTTTGGTTGTGGAACCCGTTTACAATCTTAGTTTCTCCTATTTATAGCCACTAGGTGTAACTGCCTTGCTAACTGCTAGCTAACCTCTTGCTCGAAACCGCCTCGGGGCCCCTTGTCACCGCCTTGATGACTAGTTGGTAACCGTTGCCATGGGGTCCCTTGTCCCTTCTTGGGGCTGTTGGGTATTTGATGGTCTCGATGCCAGGCCGGGTTGATGTTGATCCTCTTTTCCTTAACCTCCATGATGAAGTCTTGATCACATCCACGATAGCTCTAACGACTCCATGCTCCTCATCTTGCTAGCCACCTCGATGAATCGTTTTGATAGCTAAGCCATATTACCCACCTAGACACGATGAGAACTTGGCCCCTTTACCCCCCAAGTCTCCACTCTCCACACTTAGTCTTAGAGAGACTGTCATGACACCAACTTGTCATCTTGGTATCAAGCACAATCTTGTCGACTTGATACCCTTGCTACCAAGCCCATCTTAGTTTCTGCAATCTTATCAAGTTGGTACCTTGCACCCTGTTGGCTTGGTACCCCGTTAGGGAGCCACCAAACCCATCTTGGGACTTAGTCTCCATATAGCCCCCGTAAGGGGCTCTACATCATGTTCATGATGACTTGGTACCCTTAGCTCTGTATCATGGCCGATCCATCCACGGCTGTTTGATACCTAGTTGGGTGGCTACCTCAGCTAGCCACCTTGCCTTAATCAAATTTCTTGTCTTATTGGCTGGTTACCCTGATGCCTGGCTATCAAGACCGTCTTATTGGCTTGATATCCAGGCTTAGTTTTTGGGAGCTGAACTTCACGCCAATAGGTTGAGGAGTCCGTTGGCCATGAAGGCCAGGGAGACAGTCGACCATCATATATGGGAGAAGGAGTTTGGCCATTTAGGCTAAAAAACCCAACCCAACAAAACCCAGCAAGCTCTTTTAATTATTAATGTTGAGCTGACCTTATAAATCCATTAAATCTCTTGTAGTTCATCGATGTGGTACAAGCTGATTTTTTTATGGGTAAAGAAATGCCCCCACAACTTAGTGTATAAGGATTATGCACTAAGTTGTTGACAGCACATTGACAACCTAAGGCCCCATTTAGTATCATTTTGTTGTTGTTGTGGTTGTAGTGTTGTTGTGTAAACAGATGTACAACCACAACAAGAAAAAAAATAGAAAACACAAACCTGTTTAGTTGATAAATCTGGAAAATCATGAAACCTGACAACTAGAAACAAAAACGCGTTTAGTTACTACTATAAGAACTAAAAACCAGAAAAGAGAGATATGTTTCAATATTAAGCAAAGTCTCACAAAAGTCAACATACCTAACATCAATCATGTTCCTTACAAAAAATATACTAAACATGATTATCACTCCATAACTGGTTAGCAATTTCATCACGCTTCTCGGTCATCTCACGTGTTGCTGCATAGCTGACGTTGAACTCAGTGAGTGGTAATTCAACCCCAGAAGTCTAACCTTCTTCATCTTCATAATTTTCATATTCATGAAATAGTTTATCATCTTCCGCATGAATCTTGATGAAATTATGTAAGGCGCAACAAGCAATGACAATACTTGTTTGCTTCTTGCTTCCTCAAGCTATACGACCGCATGAACTTTAGAATTAGAAACCTTGCCTTTAAAACTCCGAAGCAACGCTCAATCACATTATGCAGACTTGAGTGTCGATAGTTGAATAATTCTTTGCGCCCTCTTGGTCCGCCTCTACGCCTCATCTCTTGAAAATGACGGGTAGCTCCTTGAAATGGTGCTAGAAATCCAGGGATATTTTGAAATCCAGAGTCCACAAGATAATATTTACTTAAATAAATATGTTGAAAGTAAACTAATAAGATGTCACTATCACTCATATTGTATTAATAAAAGAATGAAATGGAGATATCATACCTTTTGGTGGCATTGGAAATTCATTTTCTGGATTTGCGATTGTCTCCATTAGTATTCTATCATCATTCGCAGTGCCTTCCCATCCTGTTATTACATATGTAAATAGCATATCAAAAGAACAAACACACAAAACATTTTGTGTTGTTTTTGCTTTTCATCCTCGATAGGGGATTTGCTCATCAGTTGGAACTACAACATCAATGTGCACTCCATCTATAGCACCAACAACATCTTGTAAGAAAATATACCTATATCAAGATCATCATAATATGAAACATGTGCAATATGAAATAAAGGATAAGAAGTTAACCTTAAAATATGGGTAAAATTTTTAGTTCTCCATGATCTGCTCTGGAATCACACCCATATCTGGTGGTTTAATTAGCCTTACTGCAATTTTGTTGATTGTTTTCAACACTATGCCAAAGTACTTAGATATAGTGGCTGTGGAATGTTGGAACCTTTCTGCGCCATCTCTGGTGGTGCATGAGTTTCCAACAACTTTCATGAATATTGAAACTTATTCTTCAACTGTCACATTCTTTGTTGATTCCAACCCTCCATATCGTTTTAGTTCATCACATAGAGAAACAAAAGTCCTTTTATACATCCTTAACTACTCATATATTCGGATTGGATGTCCATGGAGAATCTCTTGCACCCAATCATGTCCTCGATGTTCTACAAGCATTTTTAGAGGACGACTTCCTCCTCTCCTCCTCCATCAATGTTAGCATTATTACTACTAATTTATCGTCATCAGAGTCTGATGATGAATCTGAAAAAGTAGCCATTTATCTGTGTATACAAAGTAAAGTAATGAACATCCATAGAAATAACATCAGAACACATTCATTACAACTCATAATCAAACCCAACATTCATACAAATATTCATTACAAACCAACTCCAAATCCAACATTCATAGAAATATTCATTACAAACCAACTTCAAACCAAATGATAACACTCCAAAATAGTACAGAACAAGAGAGTTTTAAATATAACAAAACATCCAAAGCATCCATCACATTCAAAGCTGCAACAAATCACGCCTCCTCTCTTCGAACACATTCAAGAACACATTTTGATATTCTTTAGAATCATGGAGACACTTCACAACTTTTGCAAATAAAGCACCATTAACTTTCATCTCATCCAAAAGCTTGACGCATTCCATAAGTTTCCCATTGTAACATCCCGTTCCGGCAAAATCCATATTTCGATCTCTAGAAAATTTCACAATTTAAAATCGAGCATTTTGATAGTATTTCGGCGAAAATCAGATTATCGATCTATCGGATAAGTACCAATTACTATATATAAATATACCTATACTAATATTACTACACGTGTGATGTTGAACCAAAAGCAAACTTAAACTAAAAATGAAAAGAAATGGATGGAATGGATGAGGTGGAATAATCACTTTCCATTATATATATATATACATGTCCTCTTCTCCCATTTCATTTTCACGTTCCATCTTTCCTTTTCTGTGACCGAGAGATACGAAAGCATAGCGAGTAGAGTGAGCAGGGGAGCTCGACAGAGAATTAGCATAGCTAATCTCTTGAGCTTTACTGATCCAAAAATCCCGTAAGTAATGCCTAATTCATTCTTACATTGTGATTTATCGATTTAGAGCTTTAAAACGAGTTTTTGGTTCAGGAATTTCTTGAATTCCCTATAAGCCAAATTAGGGTTTCGGAGTATCCGGAAGCCGGATTGAGCAAAAATTTCATATACGAGCTTCCTGCAGCGAGGTAATCAATCCTCTATTTCTAATCCCTGAATTTTGGCAATTATAAAGCCGGGGTCCAAACCGCTGGATTTAGCTCCGGCCAGGGTTTGATGTGTTTTTATCAAGAATTTGACCCGTACCCTAGAACTAATATTGATGGGGATACTACAGGGGATATTAGGACGGTCTCGGATTTTAATTCGGGGTTCGTTCCTGAAATTGACGTTTTAGTACGGGAAGGTTAAACCGGTGTTTGAACGACCGGAACTGGTGAGGGATTAGCACGACATACCGGGTTTGTCGTATCACGATAATTATATTGATGCTTAGAATTGACCTAGGTGAACTAGAATGGCATGATTAGGGGTGTATGGACTTTTGTGCTATATGATGAAACCTGGACTACTGTATGATATTATTGACTTGCCCTAATCGATATGAACCTTGTTTATGTGGATGATTGCATACATGTTGCCATTTGTGGCTTAACTGTTGATATGACTTCATGGGTGTTCGATAAGGGGTTTTGACATGGTGTGATATTATGGTTGTATTTGGATCCATAAGTGGGGGAATAAACTTCCCAAGGGGATATTATGATGTTTAAGGAGGATGACTTGCACGAGGGTTTATCCCGAGGAAGTGCAATTATGGGTGTTCGATATGGGGTTTTGACATGGTGTGATATTATGGTTGTATTTGGATCCATAAGTGGGGGAATAAACTTCCCAAGGGGATATTATGATGTTTAAGGAGGATGACTTGCACGAGGGTTTATCCCGAGGAAGTGCAATTATACGACTCCTGATTTACCTATGTTGAGCCAATTATGGTCAGGTCAAGTACATGTGCAAGTAATGAATTATGATTAAGCAAGATGAGATATGAATCATGTATAAGGATACCAAATATGAGTGTTGTGGTCTCACGGTCAAATACATAGTAACTAGGGCTCCCTATGCTATTACTCTATTATGATATGTATGATAGTCACACCTCTCATGTGGTGATGACTGAAGAATTCTTATGAGATATGACCACACCCAGAGCGGTGTCGGGGTATGACTACACCCATAGTGGTGTGGGGTATGTATGACCACATCCGACGAGATGTTGGGGTATGTATGACTACATCCGACGGGATGTGGGGTATGTTTCCCAGGAGAGTTATTAGCATGGGAGTAGCCAGGCGCCTATGATTAAAACATGATAAGATGCATATGCATAAGTCAAGGTGGTTGAGTCTTTTGCCTATTGGGATGTCGGAGGGCTGAGATCTGATCCCAGTGCTTGGGCTTGTTTGCTAGATGTATGGTAGGGGTATGCTCTGTTATGAACTCACGATGCTATGATTATCTTACTCAGGTATGAGCTGACCCTCTTTTATTCTTCTTCTCTGCTTATGCTATGTGTAAGCAGATCATCAGCAGCAGCAGTAGATAGGTGTATAGGTGGGAGCTGAGCAAGAGTTGAAGGCAAGATGAGGTATGGTCTTCAACTACTTTGTGCTTGGACTACTACTCAGGATTTTGGCCAGTGATCCACACCTTTTTGTAAAAGAATGTTTTGAGAACGTTTTTCATGTGCATACTAGCTTCTGACGTAGTGTGAGATATCCACAGGTGTGGAAAATTGATGATATGTGTATATGTTGTGTAACTGTGTAAGTTGTGACGATTATGGTATGTATAAGTATGATATGCAGTTGTGGAATATGAAAAGTTGACTATGGTTAAGAAAAGCCAATGCATATGGTTGTGAGTATATATGTTTGAGATGAGTTATTTTGCAGGATAAGTTGCAAGAACTGTTAGCCCATTACGCGAGTAATTCATGTCGAAATTTTATTTAGGTAAATTTTGATAATTAATGTAACACCCGAGATTAATTCCACTGCAATTGTATGAACAATATGATTAGGCAAAACGTATAGGGTAGGGTGTTACACCCATCATCACTTGCCTTAGAGTAGACTTCACCTCCTCCCACAGATGAAAAAGCCATCTTTTGTGCCTCACGGTCAACTTTCATTTTCTCTCAATCAACCATGGATGACAACAATGTTCCTATGGTCTCAGCATAGCTAATCTTATCTTGCTTTCGTTTTTTCCCCTAGTCTTTGTTTTTGTTCTTATCCTCCTTACCAATAACAGGAGTTGCACCAATTTCTTCTTCACCATCAAGATTAGTTACATCAACACTTTTCATTGCAACCAACTCTTCCTCATTACTACTAGAAGCAACTTTGGTTGAAGGACGAGAATTATTTCCAGAAGTAGTAGTGTCACCAAATATGTAGCACAACTTTCCATATTCAGGACATCCTTGCTTTCGGAATCTAAGATGCAACTTTGAACCCTACACTCATTAATAAAGTCATTTTAATTAGCATCCATTTTAAAAGTTAAGTAAAATTAGTTTTTAACATCCATTTTAATTAGCATTATTATTATTGAAAAGAGATTGATTTATTACCCTGATAACACTTTCCCAAACATGTTCTTCTGCTTTAACACAACCAGTTGAAGCTTCAAATCCCACTCTAGTATGACTAATCAATGTCTTGAAAGCTCTGAGTCTACCCCTTAACCCATTAAACTTATTCTTCACTTGAGTCTTAGAATAGTCTCTTTTCAACCGCTCTTTCAAACCAGCTATGAGATTGGCAAATCCAGTTGGTGAAAAGGTTGAAGTAACACGGTTTCCCTTTTTAACTTCTTCCACAAAAGATCAATGAACACAGGCTCAGCTTTATCACCATATATTTTGCTATCATCCCTCTCCCCATTATCATTTTTCTGAATCTCCACACAATGAACATCACCATTTTCAACAATTTTCTCCATAACTGAGGTAAAACACAAAACAAAGAACATATCAATCAATCCAGATTCACAAATAACTAATCTAGCATTCACTACATACATGCCAAATTCAAGAACATATTCAGAAAAGTATATATTAACATAATATTTTGAAGAAGTCGAATTTACATGCTGCGGGGAGTCGGAGTGAGGCTTCTATGGAGGGGAAGTGGTCGACAGTGAGACTGACGGCGGTGGCTCGGGCGCGAGGGGGGGGGGGAGCTTACGGTGGCGGCGGCTGGGTCGAGCACTGGCGGCTAGTCGCGCGGGGCGCGGAGGCGGAGGGTCGCACGGGAGGGCGGAGGCGGCCGCCGCGCGGGGGTGACGCCGACGGGAATGGAGTGGAGAGGGCGCCGACCGTAATGGAGAGGAGATGGCTGGGGAGTTGCTCTCATTCGAGAGAATGAAGGGGTTGGGGCGGCTGATATGTTCAAGTAAGTAGGGTTTGGGGTGTGGTATGTGTTAATTTTTTTTTTTTTTTTTTTTGCTTCAGTGGGGATTCGAAAACTGGTGTGGTCTAATGAAATCAAGCACCCAACAAGTAGGAATCCCTTGTGCAACATGTTCAAGAATAAGATCCAAATCAATAAGTTGTTGTTTCTCATATTTTGGCCTCGTTGTGCAACTCTGATTCACAACATAAAATAAAAACCCAACAAACACAATTTTTTTTCTTGGTTTTATAAATTTCTTAAAACACAATAGAAAACAAAAACAAGCAACAATACTAAACGGACCCTAAGAGATTAACTTGATTTCATCATCCCTAAATCCAATAAGAAATTAGTGGCATTCAAACCACACAAGCACGACTTGGCTTAATGATTGAGAGATCCCTCATTGCTCTCATACTTAATCAAAAGTCTCTTATCTTATTCACAAGGCCATTAAATCATGACCTCCTCTCAAGAAATCATTATCCTTGGACAAAATAATTGACTTGCATTTGGCCTCATGGCCAATTAACTACTTAGTCACTCAAATAAATCAATTATGGCGACTTAACCCTTCTTTGTGTATTGTGCGAGACAATCGAGGGCCAATCATTAAGCAAACCCCCGATTTTCACTTCCCTGTAATGTGTTTTGCTTCCCGATCATTCAATGCATCCAGCTAGGATGAAGGAAATTAAGTTCCTTGCCCGCCAGGTCTACTCGCATAACACATGAAACCCTTTAACTATTGCTCGACTACGATATTTAAGTAGTAGGTCTCTCTCCTTTCCATGTTTGACCAGGAATCTAATTTCATTCGCCTTGTCATACTTAGCTAGAACTTATATTATCCTTCTCCTCATGGGATAATACATCAATAAGGAAATTGACGATGGATGAGAGTCTCACACACACTTCCATCCACTGTATGTTGGCTTCCATCTACCTGCCCCCATGGTAGAGTTTCATTGCCTTAGCCAAATTCATACATTTTTATTAATGAAGTGTGATGCCAATCTACTTGGCTTTACCTCCTCCACTATCAATGCTATATTTTTATTTCAATATACCCTTCATGTCATGACTAGCTACTCAAGCCATGCTCCAGCATAAGGGTATCATATGCCATGCCTTAGTGTGTGAGAGGCTTGGCATGTTGGCCACAATGGTGACCTACTAATATTGAACCCCTTGACACCCCACGTCCCAAAGAGAAGGGACATAAGGCTTGAGATACTTACCATTGATCAATCGATCATGAAACACACCATCTAAATCTTTTAACAAGTAGGCCCCGATGAATTGGGCGACATAGATGTTAAACAATCCATGATGGACACCCAATCAGCTAGCCATGCCATGAAAGTGGCATGTCATACCCACCAATCAAACGGGCGTGGGTGGCCCCATAGACCCAGTCACGTGGCTTGTTGCTTATTAGTCATGGCAAGTTCCTCACATTACCAGTCTTACAACTCTAACTCAACTTGAATCTCTACAATATTTTTTAGCCATGATCGGCCTAATGATTTTCTGTTTTTTCTCTTTATTTTACTAGTATTTTTATTTATTTATTTTAATATAGCAAAGAGTGACATGCATCACTGTTCTCTATACCCTTCGGCCACCACCAACGTGCCAAAGGTATATACCCACTGCCATGTCCATGGATTAAACCAGACAAGCCATCCGTAGACCACATGTCTACTCTCCTTAGAAAAAGATGATTTCTTATCAGTTGGTTTTGAATTTCCCAAATCAACCATGGATGGTACCTGGTCAACTTATCATGCCTTGGTGGCCTTATATAGGGTCTCATGATCCTCTACCTTAGCCATCTTACTAGACATGTTGGGTTGATGTTTAACCTAATGTGCTTGCCGCCTCATTCTAGGTGGTGCACTAGAAATTTTCAACTCCTTCAAGAAACGAACGACGCGGTGGAAAAATATGGGTGAGTCATCAACAAGACCATGAGTTGTCTTTTGTCTTAGTTTTCTCCAACTTGGTACATGCTTACTCTTCCTATATGGTTGGGAAGATGGGTGTTTGGACTTACAGAGTTGACGACCACCACTGTGGCCAACTTGACTCTTTCCAAAACCCATGTCTTCTCGACTTTTATACCTAACATATAACCAACATTGGTCCTCTGTAGGGCCATGCATAGTTGGTGTGTGTGGAGATGTCTTATTCATATCCCCTTGTATGTCATTCATGTTTGGCATGCCATGAGGACTGTTAGGCACATACTTTCCTCCTTGGCCACTCCTTGACATAGTCTCATAGTTAGGAAACTTGTGGATGGCTAGATTATTTTCAACACTCCTAAGCTTGCCCCTCACACGTTTGTTTACAATCGATGGCATGCCCCAAAGTCCACTATATGAGGCTGGGGACATTCCCCCCATGCCATTGTTCATGGTTGTTGATGTGCCCCCTTGCCACACTTAGCTACACCATTATGCTCTTGGGTACGCCTATCTTCCCACTACTTGTTATCGATGACATGCCCCCCTTTCCATACTTAGCTACACTATCATGCTTACTACAAGCATGTGTGGCTTAGGTTTATTGTGGTTTCTTGGGTACGTCTATCTGTCTACTATTTGTGATTGATGACATGCCCCCATGTCGACCATTCATAGGTGACATGGTACAAGGGGCCTTGCCTCCTTGTCCACTCTTTGACACGTTGTCAAAGTTATGAAAATCATGGGTGACATGGGTACGCAACACCCTCTTAGACTTGCCACTCACTCTATTCTTCATGTTAGATGACATGCCCCCTGTCCACTGCATGAAAATGGAGACATGCCCCCTCATTACACTTAGACAAAGAAAGTGGTGTTTTCTTGAACACACCCCTTTGTACATCTTTCTTGACATCAACGTGCCCCCCAGCCTAACACTTCACCTTCAAGTTGTCATGTGATAGGCTTCCATGCCCACCTAATGGTTGTTCTGACCCGTTGGGTATGGATGACACCAAAGCTGAGCATGATTTTGGTATTTCATCTACAGAAACTACCCCTTTCCCACTCGTCACACTAAGCCTAGATCTAGAAAAGACTTGTTCGATCCAATTAAAGAAAGAATGGTGTTCTCTTATATTATTGAGATAATCATAGAAAGAGTTTTGTATAATTACACGCTTCTTTAGAGTAATCAGTAAAAAATTGCTCGTGTTTAAAATGGTTTTGTTGGGAATAGAAATAATGGCGAAGAAATTCTTTGTTGATTTTGAACTCTTGTGTAATGACATCAAGAGCAGAAGGGATTTCTTCTTCTGGAAATGTAGCTTGTGAGGCAGTAGGAGACATATTTGGTGTTCTCGAGGTATTTATATTTGTAAAAAGAGTTGTGGGAGATGGCGGAGTATAAACTGGATGAGGTATGTTGTTGGAGTTGTTGATTCCTCGTAGATCATAGTTGAGTGTAGAGGAGGTATGTCGAGTGGGTGTAGGTATGGGAGAAAGATTTCTATAAGATTGGCTTCTCAGAAAGAGTATTGATGCGCTGTCGAGCATCTTCTGTCAATTCAGGGTCTATATCAGAAATGCTAGAGATGGAGTTCCTAGCAAAAGAGATGTTAACAGTACCATCAAGATGTTGAGTAATTTGATTAACCTGACGATGGTCGATGCTTCTGGGAATGGTAGCTCCTTCAAGGGTCCATTCTGTAGGAAGAGTAACTTCTACCCATTTGATAGTTTGGGGAGTAATAGTGTTAGTACGAGTTAAATCAGTTTGCCAAAGTATAGTTTCTCTTTTTGTACCATATTGAAGAGATTTACAAGAGAAAGCAGATTTCATAGCTTTATAGTGTAAGCGGTAAACCAAAGAGATAGGTAAAGATCTTTGTTGGATTTTATAGTTGAAATTTTTTATTTGTAGGGTTAAAAAATCTAAAATATTTTTGTCATGAAGAGAGACAATAAAGTTTGGAAAACAATTGAAGTAAATTGGGCCATTACAAAGACTTGATTCAACAGTTCCAAGTAAAGAGTTGTTAAACTCAAGAAACCGACAATCTCGTAAAACCATTAAAATAGCAGTATTAAGGCCTTCTTTGGATAGAGGCTTAATCCCTACTTGAACTAACCCAATATGGATATAGTTGTACTTCTTTTTGTGTTTTTTAATAGAATTTGGAGACAAAAGTTTGATGGTTTCATAATCATTGAAAAGATAAAAAATCTCTTTCTTCGGTTTTGATGGTATAATCCATTTTATTGAGGAAGTTAAATTTGCTTTGCTCATAAATTTCCTTTTGGGCAATCCTAGGAATTTGCCAATTATCAATTTTTTTACTAACAGTTTCAAAATTAATTTCTTCTTGGTTGATCACACGGTTCCCGGTGATGTCAGAATTAGAGGAAGAAGAGGAAGGTCTAAAAGACGGTCTTACAACTCTCTCACAAAGGACTCATCTAGGATCTAACCATTGGGTACCCATCTCTCAACTAATAATAAGCAAGAAGTTTTAGACAAACCCTCCCCCCCCCCCCCCCCCCCCCAAGAAGTTTTAGATCAATAATCTTTTTCTCCAACACTACTCTTCTCATGAGGATTCTTCTTCTTATGACGATGACGATGAGAATCTTCAGGCCTTACAATTTGATGACATCGATGAAAGTTCTGAATCTTCTATCAATGTTTTAATCAAAGATCAAGAGCTTATTTTAGATCTAATCAATAATATTGATAATCCTCGTCTCAAAGAAAAATATTTCAAAAAGCTTCATGACCACATGGAGAAACCTCCTGTGACTATTCCACCTACCAATCCCTTTCATCAAGGTTCGACGTATAGTTTCAAAGATATCCTTTCTCGACATAGTAATAACGATTCCCACAATCCTTCTCTTCCTGACTTTCAAAAATAATTGGATATTGTTAAGAAATAAATTCAACAATTATGATAGTTACAAAATAGTGATCATGAGTTATTACAAACTTTAATAGCTCTCAAACCTTTAGAAGAGCCATCAACATCTAGCCCCGACAACTTTTTCGATGAAACTCCTCACGCAACCAACAGTTTAGAAACAGAGGAAATGCTAACCGATGAGGATTTTCTATGTTTTTTATTTACCATTACTACCCAAAAATGGTATGTTATCATTAATATTCACAGTGGCCCTTCTTGATACAGGAGCAGACATGAACTGCATCCAAGAAGGATTAATTCCAACTAAGTACTATGAAAAGACCCTCGAGCGTCTATCTACCGTTAACTCTTAACCTCTTCAAATACAATATAA